GAGAGGGGGGGGGGCTAGGCCCTGCCTCACGGTTCAGCGGCAGAAGCTGGATGATGTGTCCTCCAGCCTACAGCTCTGGTTATTTCGTTTTAGTTTAGCAGATGGTAGAAAAAACGGCGTGTGCCACACTGTGATTTTAGTTAAAAGGCTGCTCAGAAATATATAAAACTGCAATAAACACTTTGACTATAAAATTACGCAAATAAGATTTACGACTTCCCCTTAGCAAACTCCCAAACAGGATGCTAATTGTTTGCTGTTTGATATTAAAAAATTTCCATCACCAGAACAGAGGTCAAAGGAACCAAAGATAGGGTAACAGCCTTATCCCCGCTCCGAGGACCGCAGATGGAGAGGTTTCCGTACGAGGGTAAGGCAACGCGACCCGTCAGCGGTTTTGCACTGTATTTTTAGCCGTGAGATAGCGCCTTTCCCATGAATTGGTGGGTTGAGAGTCGCTAAGTCTGCAGCGGGAGCTTTGCGCTCAACTGTGGCCGGTTTCTTTCCCGGGCACGCCAGGCACAAAGAAGGACCCATTTTTACATCATTCCCGTCTGATTTGTGATCTATCGCAGTCCGACTCCACGGAACCGTGAGGATTAAAAGAGGTTTTTGTAGCGGGAGACAGTGATGCTACCCCAGGACTGGCGAAGCTCGTGCTGTATGACAAACACCGCGCGTAGTCAGAGAAGCAATTAAGAGAGCAGCGAACGCTCCTACAAATGCCTTCGTGCCAACAGACATCTTCTTCCATTAATTAAGTGAAAGAAGATCAGTTTAATACAAATGGCTGCTGGGGAACCAAGTAAGTTCCCACAGGCAGTTCTAGGATGATTCAGTTTGCTCATCCATAGTGCAGGGCTGAAAATAAGAAATCCCAGGAAAAGTAAAACAGCCTGCATACAGAACTGTCAATAAGAAATCCCAGGAAAAGTAAAACAGCCTGCATACAGAACTGTCGTGGAAAATAATGGCCGGCTCTCCGCTGGCGGCACCAACCCTAAGCGTGACGCTGTTCACCAATGGCACCGCTCACGGGGTAACTAACACTGTTATTACCAACGTCGTAGCATTTTCTGCCCAAGTAACAGATTTGCCCATTGCTAATTTCAGCTTTCCCACTTCTTCCTGGGGAAATAAAATATCAGGACCTATTTATAGAAGTTCATGGTTTTGAACTAATTTTTTCCTTCACTACAGCTGGTTTTAGTGGTTGATTACTGTTTGTTGGACCAGGTGATCCTTTGCCAGCTGGCTGCAGCTTTCATTAGCTCTTTTAAGAAGACTTGATTTAGAGCTCTCAGCTATGTTACAAGGACAGCAGCTCTGTAACGCAGACCCTCAAGAGAAGAGATAATTAGGACTCATGAAAAAAATTGCGTCCGATTCTTTGAACAAAACC